GCAGAGTGAGCTGGGCCTGGGAGTGGTGGTGCTGACTGGTTGTTGGGACCATTCTGCCCCTTTCAGGTATCTGCGATGGGGATGCAGCCAATGACCTCACCCTAATGGACGGCTCGGTGGTGGGTGGGGCTGAGGATCCTGCTCCCTTTCTGGACAGCTGGCAGGTGCCCAGCTCCCTGACCTCAGTGGGCCAGACCCGCTTCCGCCCAGACAGCTGCGCCACGGCTGACTGCTCGCCCTGCCTCCGTATGGTGTCCAATCGCACCTTCAGCGCCTGCCACCGTTTTGTATGTGCTACCTGGGCCCAGCGTGGGGGACACTTCCTGGGCTGGCTGGGGACAGCAGCTGCAAGACCATGTTGCTTCTCTGGGTGGGCCTGGGAGGAACTGGGTCCTGGGGTGTGGGGCACCAGAGTGGACAGCACTACCTGATGCATGTTCCAGGTGACCCCAGAGTCGTTCTGTGAGCTGTGGATCCGGGACACCAAGTATGTGCAGCAGCCCTGCGTGGCCCTGACCGTGTATGTGGCCATGTGCCACAAGTTCCACGTGTGCATCGAGTGGCGGCGCTCCGACTACTGCCGTGAGTGGGGACAGGGAGGTCTCCTACGTTGTGACTATAGTTCTCATCCCATTAAGGCTGGAAAAGCTTCTCAGACCCAAGTTCAGTCTATACTTTTTCCAGTTTAACTATCCATTCATTCATTTACTTTAGTAAATTTGTATTTTATAAGCTTATATTTATATTTAGTTTTTATGTTATATGTAAAGTATGAGGGGGACCCAAAAAATGGAATTTATTTATAAAAATTGTGTATTTATTCTTACATGTTTAAATTTGAGTCACTTTCAAAGTACTCTCAGTTTGATGCAATACACCTGTCAAGATGCTTTTTCTACTGCTTAAAACAGTTTTTGAACTTGTCAGTCTAGCCCTTTAGTGCTTCTGCAATTTTTTGTTTCACCTCTTCCACATTGGCAAAATGTGAACCTTTGAAGACATTTTTCATCTGGGGAAACAAAATATAGTTGCTTAGTGTGAGATCAGGTGAATAGGGAAGGTGGGGTATGGGGGGCTCATTCAGTTTTTGGTGAAAAACTGCTGAACATTCAGCGCAGTGTGGGCAGATGCACCTGTAAATCACCCATCTTGAAGTGGGCAAACACAATGAAAGAATCTCCCAAAAAATTCACTAAAGCTGAACACAGCCTCTCACAACAACACTAGCTGGCCCACTGATGCCAATGGGTTCCTAGAACACTTACCTAGCTGGGGAAGCCTGTACTACAAGGGGCCCACCCTCCAAAAATTAATTCGGGTTTTTTTGGGTCCCTTCATATATTTATATTTTATATTAACTAACAATTTTATTTTTATTGCAATCCATATTAATGATTAATACATTCTAATTTTAGTTGTATTTATTATTTAATTTCTTCGAGTGCCTTTTCTATACTGAGGGAGAGTCATCATAGCTCCCTCCTCAGGTAGTTTTGAAGGAGATTATGTGTGCCCAGTGTCTCACACATGACTGCCACATGATCACCGTCCAGGAAATATTAGGTCTCTTTACTTAATTTGTGCTCAGCTTTCTCTTCTTTTGGTCTCTCCCCTCCTTCCTTGAGGATGGAAATGAGACCTACCTCCTCCTCCTCCAGTTGGGTTTGATTTATGGGGTAGGCAGGGGTGGCCAGGACCAGAATAATTTGATTTATAAATGTGAACACCTCCAGAAAGGCTGGGAGCACCTCACAGGAAGACCACACTTACACATGACAGATAAAAGAGGAAAAGACAGAAGTCCTCTAGAGTAGTATTTTTCTAACTGTTGATCCCGACTCAGGGGGTATGAAATTAATTTAGGGGTCAGCACCAGCATTTTTTAAAAAATGCAATAGACTAGAAAAAAGAATACCAGTGTGTGTTGCCATAGAAAGTTGAAGTATTCATTTGTGAAAGAGAGTTTTTATTTTATAGTGAAGCAATTTTCAATCCTGGATACCCTTTGAAGCCACCCTGGGAACTTCGAAAATTATTAACCCTTGGGCCCCATATTGAGAGATTCAACTGGCCTGGGGTAGTGTCCCAGCAATGGTATTTCTAAAGTTCCCAAGGAATTCTTTTGCAGTCGGGTTTGAGAACCACTGCTCTGCATACTTGTGGACCACAGTGTAAAATTTACTTTTGACAGTCAAGAAAATTTGAAAGCACTGATCTACAGCAAAGGGTTGGTAAATATGGGAGGCTCTGTGGGCCATATGGTCTTGATCACAACTACTAAACACTACCCTTGCAGTATAAAAACAGCATAGACAGTATATAAATGAACAGGCACGGCTGTGTTCCAATAAAACTTTATTTGCAAAAGCTGACAGCCAGCTGGATTTGGGCTGTGGGCCATGCTTTGCTGGCTCCTGGTCTGAGGACAGCAAGTCCCTTGGCTTATGCATTCTCTACAGAGGTGCCGATGACCCTCTGAGCCCCTCCTTACCCCTTCCTCCTCTCTCCACCCTCAGTGGGGCACCTTGCCTGGGTTGTGAGCTAGGCCTGATGTCCACTGTGCCCCTATAGCCTTCCTGTGCTCCAGCGACTCCACATACCAGGCATGTGTGGCAGCCTGTGAGCCCCCTGAGACATGCCAGGATGGGATGCTGGGCCCACTGGACCCGGAGCAGTGCCAGGTGCTGGGTGAGGGCTGTGTGTGCTTGGAGGGCACCATCTTGCACCGGCGCCACTCTGCACTCTGCATCCCAGAGGACAAGTGCGGTAGGTTCCCCCCTTCCCAGGCAAAGCCCTCCGAAGTTGGCCTCATGAGGCTCTCCTCTGCCCTCCTGCTGCCCATGACCGAGGCCCATCTGCGTGGTTGGTATCCCAGGGAGGGCCTAGCCTGGGACAGTCTAGACATCCTCAGCCCTCTGCACGTGCATCTCATGCCTCCCTCTGCAGCCTGCACTGACAGCACAGGGGTGCCGCGGGCCGTGGGGGAGATCTGGAACAGCTCCCTCAGCGGTTGCTGCCAGCACCAGTGCCAGGCCCCGGACACCATTGTCCCAGTGGACCTGGGCTGCCCAGGCCCCCGGCCAGAGAGCTGCCCGCGCTTCGGGGAGGTGGCCCTACTTCTGCCCACCGAGGACCCTTGCTGCCTGGGGACTGTCTGCGGTGAGTCACACCCCTCCACTTCCCTGGACCCTGACTGTGGAAGAGTTAATAAGCTCCGGCTCTGCCCCCCAACTGTGATGGACAGGACAAAGCTGGGGAAAGAGAGCTGAGGGGAAAAGAGTCTTATAAATCAATGTTGGTGTCCTGTAGCCAGGCAGTCTGGTCACCGTTCCTTCACCACCTGTAGCTTTGTGACTGCAGGCAAATCATGTTACATCCTCTGTGCTGTAGCCTGATTCTGTACCATAGCAGATTCTCTTGTGACGTGAGGCTGATAATAGCACCCAGCTTTGGGGTTGCTGTAAGAATCCCATATTGACTCTGGTTTAGAACCACTTGATGGATGTCAGTTCTCACTGCTCTTCTGTCCCAACCCCGAACCCTGGGGGACCCTCAAAGGTCCCTTCCAGGAGTGTGGAGCCTGAGGGCCGGAGGAGTGGCGAGGGCCAGGTGTCCAAGGGTTGGGCAGTACTGAAGTGTGGCAGGCACGTCCGGCCTCCAGGTGACAGGTCCTATGGGCCCTGGGCCAGTGTGCAACCAGACTCTGTGTGAAGGCCTCGCCCCCACCTGCCGCCCAGGCCACCGCCTCCTCACTCACTTCCAGGAGGACTCCTGCTGCCCCAGCTACAGCTGTGGTGAGAGACCTTGGGCAGGGAGGATGAGGGATGGCCTGAGGGGGGTGTGGGAGAGGACAGCTCTGGGGCTGGGTTCTGACTGGAGGTTAGGGCAAAGCCTGGGGTGCAGGCCCTGCCGTGGCTAGGCAGGTTCTGCTCCTAGCACCCACGTTTTGTCATTTCCCCAGAGTGTGACCCAGATCTGTGTGAGGCAGAGCCGCTCCCCAGCTGCCGCCAGGACCAGATCCTGATCGCCGGCCACCTGGGGGACACTTGCTGCACTTCCTACTTCTGCAGTGGGTAGACACCGTCGGGTGTCAGCGGGCACAATGGGGTCGCAGTCAGTCTCTCCTCACCCCTGCTTTCTCGGATGGCTGGGAGGGAAGACTGGGGGTCTTCAGATGGGCTGAGAGAAGGGCGAGCAGAGTAGGAGGAAGAGGACACTGATCCCTTGCCATCTCCCCATCACTGAGCATGAGGAAGCGGGTGCTTGTTCAGTCTAAGCCTCGAGGTGGCCACGCGGGAGAACTTCCAGATTCTGATTCCAGGACAGGTCGTGTAAGACCATGCAGTGCTGCTAGGAGCTTAACTCCTGCCACATCTGGGTTGTTGAGGCCCCCACCCCCTCCAGCAACCTGCTGTGGACTAAGCCTCTGAGAGGGGGCTGCTGCGACAGCATTGGCCTCTTGTCCCTGCAGCCTGTGGTGACTGTCCAGATCCCATCCCCGAGTGCCAGGAGGGGGAAGCGCTCACCGTGCACAGAAACACCACGGAGCTCTGCTGCCCTCTGTACCAGTGTGGTGAGTCCCGGCTGGGCACTCAGTGGGACGTGGTGGAAGGGCCCTCCACAGAGCCTTCCCTAGGACCCATGGGGTTGACAGGGAACGACAGGGCACTCCCAGGTGGTGGGGTCCCAAGGGCAGGTGGAGGAGCAGGAAGCAGCATGAATACAGGCCTCACCCAAAGATGCTGAGTCTGTGTCCAGTGTGTCCAGGCCTGCCCCTCCTTGGAGGCTTCCAAGGACCAGAGGGAGGCTTGGGTTGAAGGGCTAATGCTTGCCTCGCCCCCTACCCTCCAGTGCCCTCAGCCCTGATTCGAAGCCCTTGTTCTCTGACTGACCCGAGGCCCCAGCTTCAGGGTCCCTTTCACCACTGTGTTGCCAGAGTTGTTGCTCACGGAGGCTGTGTTCCAGAAGGACCTGGGTTTCAAAGCCTCTGAAGCTCTTTTATTTTGCCATGATAAATGAAAGTAGGCCCTTTCTGATATTTCTAGTATGTATGTAATACCTCAATGATAACTATTCAACATTGCACAGCCAGCATCATGGCCTTTAACATAATGGATGAAAGTGAACAAAATGTTTACATTTAAATATGACCCTTGACCGGGTACGGTGGCTCAAGCCTGTAATCCCAGCACTTTGGGAGGCGGAGGCGAGGGGATTGCCTGAGCCCAGGTATATGAGACCAGCCTAGGCAACTTGGCAAGACCTCGTCTCTACAATAAATTTTTAAAAATTAGCCAGGCAGGATAGCATGTACCTGTAGTTACAGCTACTTGGAAGGCTGAGGCAGAAGGATTGCTTGAGCCCAGCAGGTTGAGGCTGTGGTGGCTGTGAGCATGCCACTGCACTCCAGTCTGGGCGACAGAGTGAGACGCCAAATAAAAAAAAAAAAATTAATATGACCCAACTTACCAAAATTGCTTTGCACACCGGTAGGAAAAACATGAGGTGAACCTCACGTACACAGAGCAAAGCAGAGGCAGGACCTCTACCAGGACACCCAAAGGCAGCCTTGACTGGTTCGATGTCAAGAGCTGACTCAGAAACAAAGTAGGTTCACCTGAGAGTTCCACACCTGACCAGGAGCTGATTGGCAGCTCCCCTGGGGTCTCGAAAACCCAGTGTTCCAGTGTTTCCAGAGCTGATTTGAACAGTTCACCATCCTTCTCCTCCTCTTTTCTCTCTCTCCTCCTCTCATCCCCTCTCCCACTCAGTCCTCTTCCCACTCTTTCCATGTTTCTCAGGAGGGAGGCTGATGGCGTGGGCTGAGTGCAGGCAGAGTCAGGCATCATGTTCTCCAGGCCCAGAGCAAGTTACCAATGTTGCTCATTTGTAAAATGGGGATAATAGCATCCACCTTGAGGGGCTGTTGTAGAGGCCAGACATGTTTTATGTGAAGTACCTAATACTCCTAGCTTCACAGGAGGTGCTCAAAAGCAGAAGCTGTTGTTATTACCACCTTATCCCAGTCTGATTCACACTTGTATTATTACCAAAGCACTGTATGTGCATTGTAGAAAGCACAGATTCCAAGTCAATGCAAGAAATGTAAGTACTGTCTTCCTGCCTCTAGCTATTTTGCTGCCAATGCTCTAGTGCAGACCCTTCCAGATGCTTTCAACACCTCTACGCAGATGTGACTGACCAGAATAAGGGCACGTGGAGCATGCTCTGTTTTAACTGGCTGTTTTTAGTTAACGACCTTTGCCTTTCCGTTAATAAGTTTTCAACTTCTATCATACCCAGTCCATGTTTCTTGTTTGTTCAGTCCAGGTCCGCATATTCCAATTATGGGTCTTAAGTCTCTCTTAACCTAGCTCAAGTCCCTTTTCTTTTTCTTTTCTTTTATTTTAAAGATGTACAATTCAAGATTAGGTATACAGGTGGCTATCATAAAGGGAAAATTTGGGCCTCCCTTTGGTCCCCACTTTGCCTGGTTTGAGATCAGGTACCCTTCTTGTGGTTGTGTTCCCCCACCCCCACCCCCGGCAGTATCTTGCTACTGCCAATTCCTTTCTTATAGTATTATGGTAAATGTTCGGGGTCCACTTATGAGTGAGAACTTGTTCTTTGTTTCTGATAGATCACGAGTATGACAGACTCTAAATCCATCCAAGTTGCTGCGAAGTCCATATGTTTGTCCTTCTTTATGACAAGCCCCCTTTTCTGTGTGACACCCTGCTGTAGAGTCCAGGCTGTGACCCTACAGTGGGGCCCACCCCAGTTGCTTCCTCCTGGAGCTGCTTACCTTGTTCCGTTATCCTCTGTGCTTCCTAAAGCTGATAGTTAGATCTAAGGCGTGGTAGATTCAAGTTCAAAATTTTTGGCTGGACAGTGTGTAAGCTTCATAGGCTGTCACATCAAGAGGCACACGCGGTCTGGCTAAGCTGCCATAACTGATGTTAATGTTGTCCTAGATTAGGGTGGTGACTCTGATCCCTCCACCCTCCACTGACATTTTCCCTCTTTCAACCAGAAAGCAATCCTGTATAAATATCACTGTAGCAATGTCCCACATAAGTGACACTATATAAATGTCACTATATGAATGTCCTATATAAATGACACCATACAGATGTCCTTCTCCCCCTCGCCTTCATCATTTTTTGGAACACCATTTGATAACGCTTGCTTGTGCTGATGATTTTATTAGTCAATCAAATACATCTTAACCATTCTCAGACCCTCCTGTTCAGGGCCAATCCTTGCCCCTCCCCTCCCTTCCAAAATGAGGGAACCCAGGGAGCTTCCATACCCCTTCATTTTGGTCTCTCAGAAAATGACCAAATCCTAAACTGAGCAAAGGCAGCCAGAAGACCAGGAAGAAAGGAAGTGTGAGCGCCCCCACCCCAAGTGGCATCAGCTGTAGCAGGACAGGCTGGGTGGGCCACAAATGGATGACATTTCCACAGGGTGAGAAAGTCCCATGGAGGGAAGTGATACCCATCAGCAGATCTTACCCAGGTCACTGGCTCTCCTCCGTCGCTTGGAGGGTGACACAGAATCCAGGGGAAGGAGGCCCAGTTTAATGAGTTTGAGGTTCTGATGTTGCCCAGTGCCTCACAGGTGCAGCACAGAGGCCTTCTGAAGCAGCTGCCTCAGGGGACTTTGGGTGCCTAGACTCTTCAGGGCCCCAGACACACAAGGTGTCAGAAGACAGTGGGGGCATCTGAGGAGGAGCTGGGAGGTGGCCCTCCTTGGCCAGTGTTGCATTTCTGAGGATTCACATACCCTGGCGTCCAGGACTGATATGTGCTTGCCTCCCCTCCCCATAGCGTGCGAGAGCTTCCGCTGCCCCCAGGTGCAGTGTGGCATGGGCACGGCCCTGGTGGAGGTGTGGAGCCCGGACCGCTGCTGCCCCTATAAGTCCTGCGGTAAGTCCCTGCTCAGCATACTCTCCCCCCGGGAGCTCCAGGGCCCCTTCCGAGGAGGGGGAGCCCAACCCACCGCTGTCCACTTTACTCAGATCTGACCCCTCCAGAGTCTCTATGGGGAAGTCACCAGGATCACCTTCCTGCACCCTCTCTCTACCTCTCTTTCCTTCCAGGATAAAAAAAAGCAAGTTCCCTATTCCAAAAAGATTTCCATCTTACAAAGTCTTGCATTTGCCTTTCACAAAAGCATACTTTTTGTTAAAATTCACTTCACATCCAAATTTGGGGAGGCAGGTGGGAGTGCCAGTGACCAATAATGGCAACCAGCGAACTTTAGATTAAAATGGGATTTTAAAAAGCCGAGAAACTCTATTTGGCATCTGGATTTTTTGCTTGTCTTTTTTCCAGGCCTCACTAGAATGCAGACTTCATGAGGGCAGGGATTTTTGACCATTGGTTTGTTCCCAGAGCACAGAAAAAACCCCAGCATGTAGTCAATGCTTAGAATGATTTGTTGCATGAATGAGTGACTAGGAAGCGTGTTCACAGCCAACTGTCCCGGAGCTCCATCTCTGGATGCAGCCCTCACTGGTGTAGCTCTCAAATTCGTCAGAGCTTGGACCTGCTCACAGGCAAAGGCTGGAACATATATCTGGGAAAGGCAGGTGCTCAGAAGTTCCATCCTTGCCATGTATATTCCTGGAGAGGTTCCCCCTCTCCTCTTCTAGAAGGGGCTTTGGACAAGGGAGGGAGGGATGGATCCAGATGACAAAAAGAAACCTGTGATGGTCTGTCTACCTATTTATCTTCACCCCACTCCTGGTGAGGAGCTAGGCATTCAGGACCCATCACTGCCCACCTGCCAATCAGAGGAGCTATGCTCACCCCGACCATACACACCCCAGGGACAAAGGGAGGCTGAAATTTGGCCTCTTCCTCCCCTCAATCCTGGGCTGGGCCTGAAACTGGGTCTGTGCCAGAGGAGGGACTGCACCTGCAGTGAGGGGTCTAAGGGGTCTAGGGGACTTCCACCTGGGCATCCCTGGTGAGGTGGTCTGCCCTCTTGTTTTTCAGAGTGTGACTGTGACACAATCCCGGTGCCCCGGTGCCATCTGGTATGGAGCCCCTTTCCCTCCCACCCTCCCCGGGCTGTCTCCCTTCCTTTCCTTTCCATCTCTCCCCTGGAGACCCTGCTACTTTAATCAAGTGCAAGGAGCCCTGGGTTGCAAGTCGGCATGCATATCCCAAGCCTTGCCCCCTGGCTTTCTGAGCACAGTACCTTCCTTAGTGAGTGGGCATCACCATGCTTCAGTTGTGGCAGGGATTGAGTTCAGTGATGATGGTGATGATGATTACTGTGAAGATGGTAGCGACGCTGCTAATGGTTGTGGTTCTGCTGGGTTGGTGAGGATGGGGTGGTGGTGATGGTGTAGATAATGAAGATAATGATGGTGGAGATGATGAAGATGGTGATGGTGGTGGTGGTTGTGATGGGGAGTATAATGTGATGGTGATGTTGGTAGTAGTGAACCACGATGATGGTGCTGGTGGTGGGGAGGGTGGGGATGCGGGTGGTGGTGATGGTGGTGATAATGCAATGCTGGTGACGGTTATGGTGGAGATGGTGAAGGTGATTGTGGGGATGGTGAGGATGGTGATGGTGCTGATAGCAGTGATGGTGAGGATGATGGTGACAGTGATGATGACGATGATAATTGTGATGACAGTTAATGTTTATTGAGAGCTTACTAAATGCCAGGAACTTTCCTGGGCCTTCCCTCTGTATTATCACATGCATCCTCACAACAACCCCATGAGGTTGATTCTGCGATTAATTCCATTATACAAACAAGGAGGCTAAGGCCAGGGTCACAGAGCCAGGATTGGAACTTGGCAAATCTGACCCCAGAGACCATGCCCCTAGTCAACAGGCTGCACGGCCACTGAAGGCCATGAAAATACCTTAAGAAATATGAAATTACATTTACAGACATTTTCTGTATTGCATGTGCCTGCCCTCCCCCCAGCATACATTTTCTCGTCTTGTCCCCCCATTCCATCCTTCCTCGTCTGCCTGAAACTGGGGAAGAGAGAAGGGAAGTAGTGTGAGCCAGGTGGGGGAGGGGAGGGGAGAGGAGGACACTCATGGGGAGGACACTCCTCGATGGGAGGCTAGGGCCACTCAGGGACTGAGCTTCCAGGGTTCCAAGGGCCTCCAGGCCTGCCCCCCCCACCCGCCCACCACAGGGAGGGACTGACACAGGGGGACCCAGGCAGCAGACTGCTCCTGAAGGCGGGACCGCCACCATCCCCGGGGTGCTGACTGCCTCTGTCCCACCCAGTGGGAGAAGTCCCAGCTGGACGAGGTGTTCATGCACAGCACGGAGAACGTGTGTGGCTGTGCCAAGTACGAGTGCGGTGAGTGGGGGAGCCCACGGGGTAGAGTCAGGCTGGGCGCGTGTGGGGGGTGGGCTCTGCGTGACTGTGACCACCTTGCATGCCCATCCAGTGAAGGCCCCCGTGTGCCTGAGCCGCGAGCTGGGAGTGATGCAACCCGGCCAGACAGTGGTGGAGCTGTCGGCTGATGGTGTGTGCCACACTGCCCGCTGCACCGACCTGCTCGACCCTCTCACTAGCTTCTACCAGATTAACACAACCTCTGTGCTGTGTGATGTCCACTGCGAGGCGGTAGGGTGCTGTGCAGGGTGGGGGTGGGGTCATGAGGGCTGGCTTGGCAGGTCCTCTGAGCTCAAGGGACCAGAAGGGCCCGTGAAGCTGCCCCAAGTCCCCAGACAAGTCTAGGGAGTGGGCATCAGAGTGCCCCTCAGAGACTTCTGTAGCAAGTTCTGAGAAAGGGACCGGGTGGGAGAGGCCAGGAGGGGAACAGGATGAGCAGAGGAACAGATTTCAGGCCTGGCAAGGGTGAGCATTGACGGACAGAACACACATTTTTTTAAGCACCTACAGAATGCCTAGCAGGTTTGTGTGTTTGTGTGTGTCCTTCCCATTTGTCCCTTACCTAGGACAGTGACTGGATTCTCGAATCCAACAAAGGGGTTGGAATAATTCCCGTGTTTTAGATGAAAAAACTGAGGTCCTACAGGAACTGCATCTCAAATCCAATTCCCTTGTGGCCAGAAATGCTGCCTCTGGAGGGGTGGAAACACCCCTTGTCCTGGGTCTAAGAGCTGGCAGAAAGGGAGGCTTGGGGTAGATGTAAGGACAACCTGCCTGCCTGAGATAGGAGGCTGGGCACTCCTCTTCCCAAGTACCTAAGGGGGCTTTCCCACTTCTGAGCTTGCTCAGAGATAAGCAGACAGGGACAGAGCCAGAGGGTAGAGGTGGCACCTGGCTGAGGCACCTGGCTGTCCCCCACTCCACCCCCAGAACCAGGAGTATGAGCACCCGCGGGACCTGGCAGCCTGCTGCGGCTCCTGCAGGAACGTGTCCTGTCTCTTCACCTTCCCCAACGGCACCACCTCCCTGTTCTTGGTAATCAGTCCCTCACTGCCCATCTGGGAAGGTGTCCCAGGAGGGGACACCAGGACCAGGGCCCGTTCTGGCCCCCAGACCAGGGCTGGGAACAGAAAGGGTCCTGGACGGTGTCAAGTCCTGGACCGTGCCTGTCCTGGGAGCTGTATCCTATGAGTTTGCTCAGGCCACCCATCTGACCACAGCCCCCATGACCAACCCCTGTGCCTCCAGCCTGGGGCGTCCTGGATCGCAGATTGTGCCCGCCACCACTGCAGCAGCACCCCCCTGGGTGTCGTGCTTGTCCGCTCACCCATCAGCTGCCCCCCACTCAATGAGACGGAGTGTGCCAAGGTCAGTGCCTCCCCCTCCCACAGTGAGGCTCGGGCAAGGTGCACTGGCCATCTCACTGGTGGCAGTGGGGGTGGGGTGGGGGATGCTGTGTGCATGGGGTTGGAGAAGGGGCCCCTAGAGCCTGCGCCTGTGTAGCCACCACATCTACACATACCTCTTGTGGTTCTTCCTGCTCTGACCACAGTCACTGATGGCTGTCGGGATGGGTAAGGAAAAGACGTCCCTGGAGGGTTAGGAGCTGTTGATGAATTATTAAAGTTCCTGAGATTATTAGTGGACATTTGAAGATATGTGACTTCCCTGGAAAACAAATATACACACACAACCGACCATATTCTTGTATACACACTCAGACATGCAAAATCACACATGTACACACACTCATGTTTATGCTAAAACATCACACACATGTACTGAGACTCTCTCTCTCTCTCACACGCACACACACACACACGCTTATGTACAAAGAAGTGTACTATAGAGGAGGTGTGGGAAAACTAAGCTCAGAGGAAAAGGATGACTTTAACTAGGACTGAGAAAGAGCCCAAGCCACTGACCCAGGTGGGTGACCCCTGCACCAGCCCCCCACAACCTTCTATGTGGGGAAGGACCAACAGTGGGGGGCGGGAGGGGAGCTGCCACAGGAAAGCCAACTGGCCTCTGTGCTGGCCGCCCCCACCATCAGGTCAGCCCCCTGGCTCTTCCATGACCTGCCCGGGGGCCTGTTCTCCCTCTGGCCAAGGCTCCTGCCCTGGGGCATCATGGGGAGAAGTCTCAACTCTTGGACCCCCTGTGCCTGTTTCTGGGATCTTGGTTCCTGGATGGAACAGGGTCTCTCCACCCGCCACCCCCTCCTCTCCCTCTAGGTTGGGGGCTCCGTGGTACCTTCCTTGGAAGGATGCTGCAGGACATGTGAGTGCACATGATGGAGGCTGGGGGTGAAGGTCTTTGGAGGGGGCAGGCATCATGTCAGGGGACAGAAGGCTGGGTTCCTGGGCTGGCACCCACAGTGGTAGCTCTTCAGGGACAGCCTCCCGCCATGGGGCTCATGGTGCTGGCACAAATATGCAGGTAGCCAGAGGCCACATTTGTGTCCATGTTCTCATACAAGCGAGAGTTGTGTGTACTTGCCCTTACTCCTGACTCCTGGTCCCTTGGTCACTCAGAACTGCAGCCTCGAACATGTCCACATACATGTCACATCCCAATCAGCCTCAGACCCCATCTTCGGAGGCTATAAAATCTGGGGCTCTTTTCTGTCCACATGACACACCCCAGGAAAACTGGGCTCAGGTCATTGTGGTCATTGGCTGAGCCCTGACCACAACCTCATGTACCCTGAATGTCCTATGTGCCCCATGTGACCTGCACCCATGTCCCTCTTCCCAGGTTCCCCGGGGACCCTGTTTCCCGTGGTCCCTGTTAGCCCCGCCTCTCCTCCTCGGGTTAGTGTCCACTGCCGCCCAGGTACTTCCCTCGGAAGCCCACTGGACTGGAGGCAGGCAGCTGTATTGCTATTTCCAGCAATGTCCCTTCTGCTAGGTGGCCCGAGCTCTGGGGGTGGGGGAGGGGGCACTGGGCCCACAATGCATGCTGGGTGGTGAGCTGCACCCCTGGGCTTGCATGGGCATGCTTCAGCAGCGCTTGCTCCCCTGGTACCCACCAACGCCTGGTGCTGCCACTGCTTTGCCCCCGCTGGTCACTCAGCTGGTCTGGTCCAGGACCCAGAAGGCCGCACCAAGACCGCTCTCAGTTCTCCCGCTCCCTGGTTCAGAGAGGGAAGACAAAACGGCCTTAGCTCTGGGCTGGAGCCATCTAGCTCGTGTGGTAGGAAACTTCTGTGGCGAGTCTCAGAGACCAGAAAGGAGACTCTCACCCCATTTCTAGCAGCTTCTGTGGGGTTACAGAGCAAGTTTCCGCATCCTACAAATAGTTATTGAGCACCTACTGTGTGCCGGGCCCTGTTTTAGGCCTTGCAGAGCCTCATGGAGCTGATGTTTTGGTGGAAGAGGAAGAACAAGTGAAATAGGTACTAGGCCGGATTTGTGGAACCTGGAGCTTATGCAATTTGGGCGCCTTCATTAAGAAAAAGAACAAAAAATTGCAAAGCTACACTGAGGTGTGATAGGGAATATTTACTCCGAATGAGAAAACTCACAACTCACAACGCATTGTGGAAGGGGCCTCTGCAAGAGAAGACCCCGAAGCCTCGCGCTTCCACAGTGTCATTAAAAATGTGTCCTTGATGAGACAGGGATTGTTCCCTGGATGGACACAAGGCAAGGCAGGCGGCCCAGAGCGAGCACTGGGTGGAGGGAGGGAGGGATCAGGAAAGGCTGGGAGGAGATATTGGAGCCGGTTGCTAAAGGAGGCGAGGGCTTCAACGAGCCACGCGATTGGTGGTCAGTGAGAGGCGTGGCCCCGGGAGAGGAGACCCAGTTGTTCAGTTTCCACCCCGAACAGCTCTGTGAGGTGGGTGGATCCAGCAAACCTGTTGTGTGAAGCAACCAGCCTGAGACTGGGGTTTCCATTCATTCGGGAAATGGCAGAATCTGAATGCTACAATCCCTCTCAGGGCAGGAGAGCTGAAGCTCAAAGGAGAGTGAGAACACGCCCAAGATCACCAACGTGGGTTAGAGACAAGCATGGGGGCTGGGGTAGGGAGGCAGCCTCCCTGCCCCCAAACCCTCCTTTTCCTGAGCACAGAGTCCTCCAGGGGGCCCTGCCGGCCTCCAGGTAGCTCCCTGCCTCACTTGCTGACACTGCTCTTTCTGTGCCTTCCCGGCTCCGCCTCCTCCCAGGGCCTTGGGCTAAAAGGCGTCCTCCTGAAGGGGAGGGGCTCTGATGCATGGGCGCTAACGCTGGAAGGGGGATCCTCCGGCATGACACTAACTGCCCCAGGCTGGCCCACCCTGCTGCCCCCAGGGAGCCTGCCTTGGTCATGGCTCCCTCACCCCTCTGTCCCCGCAGGTAAGGAGGATGGGCGCTCCTGCAAGAAGGTGACCATCCGCATGACCATCCGCAAGAACGAATGCAGGAGCAACACCCCTGTGCGTGGGGCCCGCCTGGCACGGGGGTAACCAAAGATGGGGGAGGAGAGGGCTTGGGGGGAGCTCCACAGACAGCCTCACCGGCCTGCCTGTTCCAGGTGAACCTGGTGTCCTGCGATGGGAGGTGCCCATCTGCCAGCATCTACAACTACAACATCAACACCTACGCCCGCTTCTGCAAGTGCTGCCGCGAGGTGGGCCTGCAGCGGCGCTCCGTGCAGCTCTTCTGCGCCACCAACGCCACCTGGGTGCCCTACATAGTGCAGGAGCCTACCGACTGCGCCTGCCAGTGGTCCTGAGGCCCACAGGCCAGGGCTGGCTGGGCCACCTCTGCCACCCCCGCTTCCAGTTTCCAGCCGGCCCAGTGTGGAGGGGGATTACAGGTGGTAGAAAGCCAGTATTGGCTGAGCGTGGAAGGGTGGGCAGAGGCCCAGAGTGACCAGAAAGGGACACCCTGCCCATGCTGGCTCCCTCTCTGGGCTCCCCCTCTGCCATGCATGGGGATGTGCCACTGCTGAGGGCTCAGGAAGCTCACTTCTGCCCCAGCTTGAGGTCAGGAATGAGCCCTTGCACATCTGTGACTCTGGCCACAGTTCCTTGGTGGAGGGCGTGCGAGCTCTCAGGAGAAGCTGGGACCGAAGCTGGACCCAAGACCAAGCACAGGGGCCAGCTGCAGGGATTCATTCTCTTGGATCTTTGACTCCAGAAGCGATGAGACCACAGCAAAAGGAAAGTGGGCTTTAATTGCAATACTCAGACCTCCGTCTAGATGCCCAGAAGGACTTCCCAAAAGCAAAGGATGGGTTCTAGGGCCCATGTCCTCTCACCAATACCTATGAGACCAGAGTGGGCTCAGTGACCTTCTTGTCCTCTGCACACCCAAGAGGACTCCCTGGTGTTCACAGAAACACTGTAATTCAGGAAAGATTCAGATGAACAGGCAAAAGCCTGTGCCCCGCCCCCGAGCCCACTTTCCTGGCAGGGGGCTGGCCTTGTGAGGTGTTAGGAGGCCACTCATCAAGGATGTCGGTGGACAGGCCACCCCTCCAAGGGCCCTGGCTCATTGGATGGGCACTTTCAGCCTGCAAGTGCAGCTCCTGGCTTTGCACTGTGCCTTTTCTCCAAGGCCATGGCAGAGTCCAGCTCCAGAGAGGCCTGAGTGTGGGTTTTGTGGCTCTACCATCTCCAGCCTCTGTGCTCCTTGGGACTGTTTAGAGAGTGTGTGTTGGTGGCAAATGCAGCCCCTGCAACCCTGAGTATCTGTCAGAGCCTTGTCTCCAAACCAGTGTCCTCACTAAAGCCAGGGCCAGAGCCCCCCTCCACACCCTATTCTGCAAGTCTCCTTCGCCCCTGTGCCACCTTGTGCCACTGGGTCCGAAGGGCATGAAATGTAGTTGTTCATGCCCTAGCACTGCCCTGTGTGTCTAGAGATGTGCAGCTGCCCTGGGGCCCCTTGTGGTGAGGGGACTATGCCAGGACGATCCCCAGCTGTTCCCAAAGCCTCTTTGTTCTTGTATCTGTGTTCTGATTATGTATCAATAAACCACAAGAAGACTGCAGGCCTCGGTGCATCTCTGAGAGTGCCAGGTTTCCTTTGAGTCTGAAGGAGTGCCAGCTGTGAAGGGAAGAACTTATTTTGTATGGTCCTGGAGGCCAGCCTCACTTCTCCCGGCCACCCACGCCCAGCACTGTGCCCCACTCAGAGCAGGTCCTCAGTGGTAGAAGTTGAATAGATCAGAGACTAGCTTTCAGAGGAACGGAGTGGGGAGATGCAAGAGGACATCGGGAGCTGGGGAGTTGGCGCCCAGGTGAGGGGACTGAGGAGTAATCCTGGCTCTGTGGGGTCAAGGACAGATGCTTCTCACACAGGATGAGGGTGTCAAAGACCCTGAGAGGAGATTTATGTTGGCCTGTCAACATTTTGAAATTTATTTCCTTATTATTCTCCCAAAGACCTCAGTAAGTTTGTGCAGCCATGCTGGCTGTGCTGGCATTGAGTGGTATCCAGGGATGGGTTCTTTGGGACACTTCAACTGTAAAGAACCATGGGCACACCGGAGGAACAAGTGGGAGTGTGCTTTCCTGAGTTGTCCCATGTGGGAAAGAGGAGGATGGGGGCTGGAGAGGCACTCCTCAATAATGTGGGGAAATGCCTGTCCAAGAGCTTTACCCCGCCTGGAGGCATAGCATTCTTTTTTGAGCTAAAGCATCCTTTTTTGAGCTAATACATGGAAGTTCAGATTTAATTTCACAAATAAGCTTCTCCCTTCATGGTACATCTGTCTGCTAACGTGGACGCTGGGATTTTTTGAATGAAAAAGGAACTTTACAGCCTCTTAAGCAGCACATTTCTGAATAGGCAATGGACCCAAAAAGAAATCAGAATGGAAATTAGACAACATTTTGATTTGGATGATTATTAAATTTTGACTAATTAAACCTGTAAGATGCAGCTAAAGCAGTACTTAGAGGAATACTTATAGCCTTAAATGCATCCTTCATACTTCCTGACTTCTCATTATTACAACCAGAGATGGGGTGGGAGAGGGCTTCCCACTTCATCATTGATGATGATCCATGACTTGTGGTCAGTTATTTCCTTAGTCATAACACATCCCTAAATCAGTATTTTTCAGGGTTTCAGAGTTTCAAACCCTGAACTTAGAAGAAGATGACTTTAAACATACCTTTAAAGATAACTGGGTTTTGGATGTGAGGGCAATCTGGCTGCTACATCCATCACCCCACTGGTTGCCAGGGTTGATTTGGCTGATCTGGCTGGCTAGGTGGGTGTCCCCTCCCTCCCCCATTGCTCCATGTGCATCCCTCCAGAGCTGTGCATTCAGTTAGAGAGGATGGCCATCCCTGCTAGAAGAGGACCGTGCTTCAGCCAAGGGTACATGAGTAACTGCACTCCTCTGCTAGAGCCCCCAAACAAGCTCTCAAAGAGAACAGGTTTAAAATTCTGGTTGTTTTACAGCAGGGTGTTTAGATTAAGACATACAGCAGTCCTCTGGCTATTGCTGGACTCCCAGTGTCCCAGCTGTCCATCCCTCACCTCACAGCCACTCCATCTGTTAACATCCAAGCTGGGAAAGCAGCGTTTTAACAGGGCCACTCCTAATCAGCCATTGTGCAGACAGAGGCAGAGGTGTCAGGGCAAGACAGCCAGCTCTGGCCTACACATCAGTTTGGGAGGGGGCCCCAGGCTTTCAGGTGACTGCTCCCCACATCAGATCTGTCACTGGTGACCCGGCTTTAGTAGCCTAGCCCTCCTTGGCTCCCGTTGGCAGGTCTCAGCCCTCTGCTCCACCCCCACCACATGCTCACAGGCGGTCATAGCTTCTGATGGTCATAGTCCAGAACGGTGTGCCTGGACTGTTCCTCCCACCTCACCTCCGCCCCCACCCAGCATCCCCCCCCCCCCCCGCCTACTCCTACTGGAAACCAACCATTTGGCCAAAATTCCCCATCCTCTTCTCCCAGATCCCTCCTGGGGAAACCAACTCTTTTAGGTTAAGACCCTTAAGTGAAAGAAGATAAGAGGTAAATGACCAGCCCTGCTCTGCACGGTGGGGAAGATGGGAGGGGGTGAGGACTTGGAACTTTGATCAGTGTTGCCCAGGTGTCCTCCAAAAAGCCAGTCCCAGCTGTGTTGATGTAGGTGTTCATAGATACAATCTGGAAGTGTTGACTTGAGTTAAAAACACATACATCTTTTGACGAAGTCATCCTATTTCTAGGCAGCTGTAGTTGGCTGAATAATGACCCTCTCAAGATGTCCACGTCCTGATCCCCGGAATCTGTGAATATTTATTTCACCTTACAGGGTAAAAGGGACTTCGCAGATGTGGTTAAGGATCTTGAGCTATGAAGATCATCCTAGATAATCCAGCTGGGCCCATTGTAATCACAAGGGTTCTTAGAAAAGGGTCAGAGTCTGAGAGATGAGATGGGATGGCAGAGACAGAGGTTGGAGTGATGAATTCTGAAGTTGGAGGAAGGGACCACTGACCGAGGGATACAGACAACCTCTAGAAACCGGAAAATCAATCATGGATTCTCCCCTAGAGCCTCCAGAAGGACAGGCCTGCCCAGCCCTTGATTTTAACTCAGTGAAACTGGTTTCAGGCTTCTGACCTCCAGTACTGCTGTAAGAGACTCCATTCGTGTTGTTTTAAGCTACTAAATTTGTGGCCATTTGCTACAGCAGCAACAGGAAACTCCTATAGCATCTAAAGAAATAGTTCCTACAGGGAGGCATGTGCCAAGATGTTTACTGCCCCATTGTCCTAAGTTTTAAAAAGTGGTAACAAATGTAAATCCCTGGCTATAGGGAATGATTAAATAACCTGGCACCGCCATACTCTAGAATGTTATGTAACCCTTTTGTGTCCTGACATGTGGGGCTCCCCAGGACATGCTCAAGGAAGAAAGGAAGTTGTGGGTTGGCTTCCACTGAATGACCCACCTCCTTTATGCACCTGTATGGGACACACACGCACGCACGCGCGCACAGATCTATGTCAGTCTTATTCCCTCAAAGGGTTTTCAGGACCAAGGAGGGCCCTTCCTGGCTGCTGGGGTCAGCTGGCCAATGGCAACTTTGGTCCTGGAATAGCTTGTTAATTCTGAGGCTCCCAGGAGAGTGAATAGACCAGAAGAGACTCGAGGCTTTAGGGACATCTGCAGCTTGTCTCCATTCCTGTTTCCTCCCCCAACCGCCCTGCTCCGTGCATGACTTAAAGCTTGAGACAAACCCAGAGGCCACACGCAGGTAAAGAAACAGAAGCCCAGGACCAGCGAGAGTTGGTGGCCGAGCAGGGCGGCTGCCCAGCCGGCAGCCCCCTGTGACGTCTTTGCAAACACGAGGGCTTTTGAGCCGCAGAACCATCCCATTCTCCGTGGTGCAGGCTCAAGTTCCCGCCCTGATTTTCTGGGCTTAATCCTCTTCCTGTGGAAATCAATAAGGACATTGTGATGGAATGATTCATGTTCAAGGTCAGGCCGGAGCAAATTGGAGGCGACATGCTGATTTTACTGCCCTTGCTGAGAGGGGAGCCAATCCTGCTCATAGACCCCTTAACTCCTTCCTCGCCACTCCGGTCAGCACTGTCACCCCCAGCCCCCTCCCCCAGGCCCAGGTCCCTGTGCCTTTTCATCCACTTGTGGCCCTGCCGTTTGCATTTTTCCAAGGCTCTGACCACATGAAGTCTTGGGGTCCCACATGCTTATCACAGTAGTTTGAGGAAACCTTCAAGTTGGAGGTCAAACGCTATGTGTGTAACTCTGACTTGGT